AAAAGGAATGACATGTCCCTGTGCCTTCACCCACATCCACATGGCTGCAGCAGACCTGGGGTGAGGAGATCCAACTGTGCCTGGGTTGTCTCTGTAGTCTGAGCCCTCCCTAAAGCCCCTTCCCCAACATCCTCAATGATGAAGATCACAGATCAGGGTCTCCCTTCTTGGCTTCTCCTCCCCCTTCCATGGAAACCAGTCCCTCCCCAGCACCCAGCCTCATGGCCCTGAGCCATGGGAAACCCTAACCCACCTCTTTCAGGGTTTTGGCTGCATCCCAGCCTCCCCCGTCCCAGGTGATTTATCACCCTGGGAAGGTTATCAGCCCCCAACTCAATCTGCTTTGGGCAGCTGATTGCTGGGGCAGATGCTGGCAGGCATTGGGGTACGAGGCTGGGGGCATCTCTGCGTGTACGGGGGCTGAGGCCATGGCAAAGAGCTCGCATCGGGCAGGGGAGACAGCGAAACAAGGAGCGGAGAAACAGGAGAGGGAGGCAGCTGGACACTGATCCCACAGAGATGAACAACCTCGAGGGGTAGGGGAGCCAAATGCTAGGTCCAGAGCTCACCCCGCCATGGGAAGAAGCATCGCACCAGCAGTAAGAAAAAAAAACAAACCAAAAAAAACCAAACCACAACAACAAAAAAGTGAAATGTTTATTCCCACCTGGCATCACTTCCATGCGCCGCTGGTGGCGGGTCACAGCTGGACAAGATGGTCACCTCACGAGGGTGACCATGTCTCCTCATTCACCCCGCACGCCCGCAGCGTGTCCCAGCTCCAGACGGGGCTGTCGAAGCCCTCGGGGCCAAGGGCTACAGCAGCAATTTGTGAAGGCAGGGGGCTTCAAGGAAGGCAGTCAGGGAGGAGGGGGTCCCAGCAGCCGCTGGGGGCTGTGTTTGGCATGGAGCCTCCTCAGCATCCCCTCCCCAGGGCACAGAGCTGCCACGGGAGCGACTGCAAAGTGGATCTCTGCCGGACTGATGCGATGCCCCGCGCTGCCAGCCAGGCAGCAGTTTGCAGGGGCAGCAGCCCGTTCAGGAGGAATTCATGCTCTCCCACTGCCGGAAAATGCGGAACACCTTGCAGGACTTCACCGAGAGACTCTGCGAGAGAGGGAAGCAAAGCAACAACAGGAGGTTAAAGCACCACAACAGGACCTGCAACCGCCACCGCCCCGCCTCCAAAGCACGTGAAGAGAAACAGCGGCAAAAAACTCCATCTGAAACATCCCAATTGACTACCAGGATATCAATTTGCTCCTCTTCTTCGTTAGCTCAATTTACCAGAACCAGAGGGTAGAACAGCAAAGTGACTGCAAGAAGCAGGACGGGGCTCCAGTCATCCCTGCTCCAGCTCTTGCCTCCAACTTGTGTCTGGTCCCACGGGACCTGCTGGCGCTTTCCCAGCACGTGGCACAGCCAGAAGGGACTGACACAACTCACGCAAAGTCCGAGACAAATGCTGAAGCAGGACTGTTCCACCGGTCCCTGCAGCTCAGCCCCAAGCAAAGCAGGGGGGAGCCAGCAGGAGGAATCCAAGCGGATAATGGGGCCCAGGGAGGCAGCAGCAGGTAACGGGGCGGCTGTGGCCTCAGCTCCGCACCCCTGGCTCAGCAAACCCACCGGTCCCAGAGCCTGGGGCTGGTGGCCGCAGGAGCCGGTGGTCAGGATGGCCACAGAGAGGGTCAGGAGCTCTCTATCGGGACACGAAATGAAACTGGATCTTGGGCAGCACTGAGCCGCTCGGGAAAGGCTGTTATTTATAGCAGCCCTTGAGCAGATCTCCACACAACACATCATTGTAAGGGATGAGATCCAGCAGAGAGGCTGTCAGCGCAGCCGGAGGGGAAGCTGAGACCGCAGACACACGCTTGGTCCTTGCCGCCCAGCTGGGTTTGCATTTAGCTCGAATGAAGCCCATCTACCCCAAACTCTGCCCAAAGGCTTTCAGCACTGGGCAAGGCTGGAGCAAGCGGTGTGTGAGCACTTGCTTTCGGGGCTGGGGATCCCGCTGGCTCACCACAGGCTCCGTCTCAGGCACTCTGTCGCACTTTCTGGTGGCGAGGAGCGTGTTCAGTACCACTCGCCAGCCTGGCTCTGCCTTCGCAGGCTCCTTCTCCATCTGCGTTGCTGTGTCCTCCAGGGCTTCCCCTCCCTCCACTGCGTTGACCCAGGGACACCAGTCACGATGCTGTGAGCTGGGGTCAAAGAAGCTCCTCAAAGAAGTGTCCTGGGTGTGGGAGGAGATGACAGTGAAGGAGGACAGCAATAGCATCGTTTAAAAAAAGACTAATGACACGACGGAACCCTCTCCATGCCTAAACACCAGCCCTGAGCTGGCCCAGTGCTGCACTACGGGGACAACACTGGTCCCTGGATCAGCAGCACCCTGCCCAGATCCCTCTGCTCCCCATGCCTGCAGCCAGGTCACTCACCGAGCTGCTGGAAGAGCAGAGCCGTGCCCGCTTGGCTTTGCGGAGAGGACTGGATGGCACCTCCATGTTGTCCCCCTGCCCCATGCTGCGGGTGACAGGGCGGCTCCTCAAAGTGGGGCTGGCCACCTCCAACTCGCCCCGGTCCATGGGGATGGGAGAGTCCCAACCCCGCGAACGAGACATGGCCGGGGACGGGCTCTTCTCGTGCTGCCAGTGGGGAAAGAACAAGGAATTAATGGAGCTCCTCTGGTCACCAGCACGCCCTCTGCCTGATGTGAACAGGGGGGCCCTGCCCAGCTCAAACATAAGATCAAAGCCTTCTCAGCCATCCTGGCAAGAGTTGTGCCACCTTCCCTTCACACCAGGAGCATCTTAGATGTGTCTAGCTGGACACAGGTGAAGGCAGCCCCTGATTTGGAGCACCCCGAGACAGACAAGCCTCCGTATCCTGGCTGGAAAGGCCCTTTTTTTGCCCTCCTGCAGGAGGGCTGACGGAGGGGAGGACAGAGAGCTGCAAAGTGTTCAGTGTTGGGCCCCTCACCCCAAGAAGGCCATGGAGGGGCTGGAGCGTGGCCAGAGCAGGGCAGCGAGGCTGGGGCAGGGGCTGGAGCCCAAGGCTGGGGAGGAGCGGCTGGGGGAGCTGGGGGGGCTCAGCCTGGAGAAGAGGAGGCTGAGGGGAGCCCTCATCGCTCTCTGCAACGGCCTGAAAGGAGGCTGGAGCCGGGGGGGTCGGTCTCTTCTCCCCAGGAACAAGCGATGGGACGAGAGGGAACGGCCTCAAGCTGCGCCAGGGCAGGTTTGGGTTGGGTATTGGGAAAAACTTCTTCCTGGAAAGGGCTGTCAGGCCCTGGCCCAGGCTGCCCAGGGCAGGGGCTGAGTCCCCATCCCTGGAGGGATTTAAAAGCCGGGGAGATGTGGTGCTTAGGGACATGGTTTAGTGGTGGAGTTGGCAATGCTGGGTTAACGGTTGGACTTGATGATCTTAAGGGTCTTTTCCAACCTAAATGATTCTATGATCCTATAAAGGGCAGGGGGAACGGCAGCAGCAACCCACTTCTGTTGGATGTTGCCCATGGCTGAAGACACAGCACCAAGATAAGCCTCTTTCAAGTTAAAAGGCAGTGGACACCCAAACTACATCAGCCTTGACTCCTGTGTGCCCCTGTGTCACCCAAACATCCCGAGCTCACGGGCTGGCTGAGCTGGACCATACCTGCTCCGAGCCCGGAGGGAGCGTGTCTTGGCTGCGCGTAAGCATCCTGCGTGGAGAAGTGGGCACGAGCGGGAAGCGCTCAGCAGGTGCCGGTGGTGTGCTGCTCGGGCCGCAGGAGTCCAGCTCCGGCCCCGTAGACTCCAGCTGATGAAAGCCCCACAGTCCCACCTTCCTCATGCAGTGGGAGCAGGTGATCACCGAGAGGTGCACGGAGCCGGACGCAGCGCTGCAGGGACAGAGCCAAGTCACAAGAGAAGGTCAGGGATGAGCCTGGGCCCTTCCCCAAAATCGCAGCTTTCAGAACAGATGCAGGTATTTGGCAGAGCACAGGAACGGTCTCAGTCACAGGTACCTGAGCCAGCACGTTTCAAGACATCGGCACCCCTCAGACGAGGCAGAGACTTAATGTTTTTGTAGCCCCATGTGCTAAGAAGTAAAACAAGTCCATTAAAACCCATCTATAGTGTTGATTTAAACTGGTTTGGTCACATTTTGGCTTGCCATGAAGCAAGAGCACACTCATTTACGGTGTATCAACCAAGACTGTCCCCACCCTCAGCCCCTGAACTGCGCAGCCACAGCAGCAGCTCTGCTCTTCCCCACCGTAAGCCCTTTTCCAGCCTGCACCATCAGAAATCGCTTCACCTTCAGCAAGCTGCCTCAGGCACAAACAGCGTGGCTGTTCTGCTCACAGCACACACTTGGGGAAGCGGTGAACCTTCAGGTCATGAACCTTCCCTCCCTTCCCGCAGGCCTGACGAGCAGTGAAAGCGTTACTGGGGATGACATTTCAGGGATTGACTTCAACATCTAAATCAGCAACAAGTGAGGCAACCAACAGCTCCCTTGTTTCAGACTTTGCCGTCTCAGGGAGACATCCATTTTAGATTAGGTAGCTTTGCACTGGGGTTTCTGGAAGTCTGTCATTTATAATGGCTAGAGATAATAAAATAGTGAAACAGGGATACCGAACATTTCACAAGAGGGACACCTGCATTCCTCCAGCCTCTGACAGGTTTCACCAGCAACCACAAAGTGCAGCAGACACTTCAGTATCAGTCCTACACCACTACCCACCTGCAAGTCCAGCCGCACAGAGCCAGGATGCAGGCAGGAACATGCACTTGCAGGATTTCTGTGGAAAACTTCATCGGTGGTTTCTCTCCCTCCGTTTTGTGCTCTAGTTCCTCCCCGATCAGCTGGAGGAGCAGACTGATCTTCTCCTCTGTCAGGGACTGCGGGGCAGAGAAAGGTGGCAGAGCTGGCAGTCAGAGGCAGTCTGATGAAATACATGGCTTCTACTCACAAACCACATCCTACGTGGAGAAAAATCCCTTTTTCGCTCCTCAAAAAGGCTGGGTGTGTGAGCTAGCACCCTCAGCACTTCTACTCTGGCTAACAGGCAAAAGCCACACTGAGCGATGGATTCCTCCTGCCTTGTGCCCGTCTGATTCTCCCGTTGCACGAACTCTGTTCAAGCGCCATTTGCTCCCCCGAGCTCGCGTGGGGACAGCGCAGCAGGTCGCGGCCCGGCGTGGGCCCGAACAGCCCCCGTCTGTCCCTCCGATCCCAGGGAGGCAGGAGGGGCTGTGTTTGCCTGTGCTCAGACAAACCGCGAGCGCTTCTGGGGCCATTGCTGAGACACAGCGAGAAAAGAGAGTCCCCGAAGGCTGTCGGTGGGGCTCCAGACCTTGCTGCTAGTGGGACAGCTGGTGAGTTCAATGCAGAGATGCGATATATCTGTCGGCTTTAGGCTGTCTCTTCTCAGGGGGGGCTCTGCTGGGTTTCACAGCTCAGCCAGCCCACGGTGGCAAACATAAAACACCTCTGCGATTTCTGCTGAATGGATGAAGAGCTCCCTGGTTCGCACACGGCTTCTCGCTGCCGAGAGCCATCTGTTTCCTGGTGAGTGAGTGTCCAACAAGCCAGACTTGGCTGGAGTAGAGCAGGGCTTGGCCAGGTCCCTACAAGGAGGCAATCCCACACTTGCTCCTGGCTGCGGCTATGCTCCAGCCTCTCCTGCCGTAGATCCTGCTCTTCCCTCCTGCCTGCCGAGCCTCCTCGCGCGACTGCCTCACACGAGAGGCCCCCCTGTACCGTACTCCCTGGGCTCCCTCACCTCCACGGGCCTCTGTCCACACCTCTGCTCCAGGGCAGCCTCTGGCTCCCCACATTCCCAATCCCACCCAGAGCAACGACTGCCTCCAGTGGGATCCCAGCCACCCGCTAGAGGGGCGATCTGCGGGCTGCCGCATCTCACGGACCATTCGGAGGTAACAAACAGGGGTGGCAGCTGCCAGGGAGAGCTCCCAAAGGAGTCTGTGGGACCTCAAATCGCTTCTGCCGGGCACCAGAGAGCACCATGCACACCGGGAAAGGCACAGAGCGGGAATCGGACACTACAGCCCAGTTCTCACCGGCAACATCGTGGTGACATGAGCCAGCTGGGCTTGCGCTGGTCAAGGGCTTGCACAGCAGATGAGCCTTTCCAAGCTCCCTTTTACGTGCTTCCAGAAACACCAGGTGAAAACACCACATGGGGAACGTCCGAGGAGAAAGCCGAGGTGATGACAGACCACTCACACACGCAAGCTGAAGTTTCCGATTTGAATCTCGCAACTGTTTCGGTCAGGGTTTGCACAGCACAGGCGTGCCTGGCATCGTCACCGGGGACTTGAACTCCCCCGGTCTCAGGGGCACCCGGGAACTCACCATGTTTTTCATGTCTTCTGGTCTGAGGGAGGGCAGCTGCAGCTCCAGCTGACACAGGCTCTGAAAGCGATCCAGGAAATCCTGGAGAAGGGCTCTGGGCTCATCCACCAGCAACATGGCAAAGCGATCTGGTGAAAGCAAACGCAGGAGGCCTGAGCTGTGCCACCAGCCTTCCCACCCCGCCCCGATCCCACAGGGCAAGAGAGAAGATGAGACCAGCCAAATTCTCCCCCAACAGTCTCCTAGCTTTTGAAAAGAAAAGCTGAGCACAGTCTTTTTCCTTTTCAACCAGCCTTCCTCGTGCAGCACAGCTTTGAAGATGAGATCTATCACCCTTTGAGCATCCCATGTCATCCAGCCTCCCTTGTTCCCTCCCAGTTACAACCCAAACAGCATTTTAACTGCCTTGGAAGCACACAAAAGTTAAGAGAGGTTGGGACTCAAGATCCGGGGCTCCAGCCATGGCTCGGTTGTTTATTTGCTGAGGCTCCTCACAGATATTGCTCTGCCACTGCGTATTTCAACGTCCCCATGGGGTAAAAAAGAGGACTATGATCCCGGACGTGAGCACTAGCCAGGCTCTAAGACACCAACCTGGGCAGGGGCTGTCCGGCCAGAAGCAGAACTTCTCGTGAGCGGTGCACAAGGCCTTCTTCAGCTCCACGCAGCGCTCCTTATCTGCAAGGCAAAGCTCACTTCTAGTCCCCTGAGGAGCCACCTCCTCGGGAAACAGTTTGGAAAACCAAAGGAGAAGAGGAAGGCACCAGGCTACGATGGCTTCCCTGCTCCTCCTGTTCGGCATGGCTCAGGTGACGGATGCCGCCTGAGGCTGTAGGTTGCAGAGCCTGAAGCTCTCACCTCAGACTCATCTCCCTCCCCACCAAAAGGAGCTGCTGGCACCTCCAGCCTCCCCACAGGCAACCGTGAAGCGGTGGTTCCTGCAGCAGCGAAGGCAGGCTGGCTTAAGGGCTTATCTCCACAACAGCAAGCATGACCAGAGCAGTTCCATCTCCTCACAGCCAAAATCCCTTCCCGTTCCCAGGCACAGCGATCACGGAGCAGAGAAGCCTGCCACGCTTCACAGCAGCGCAGTGGAAACACAGCTCAAACCAACCACGGGAACAGGGACTGCCTGCTCTTGCCAGTTTTCCCTGCTGGGCTGCTGCCAGTCCCTAGCTAACTCGCCTGACCCCTCCACCCTGGCTGCAGAAGCCAAATCACAGCCATGTCTGGCAATCAAGCTTCCCAAAAAAAGATTTGATACGTAATTTAACTTATTCACACCTTTCAGAACCAAATCATTTATGTTTCAATTTATTTTTCAAGCCCTTCTTCCAACCTCTGATTATTTTAGATTTTCCTTAACCAGTGTGATTACCAACAGAATAATTAGGCCAAGGTTTATTTAAAAAAGATAGTCTGAACAAACAGCGGACGTCAATATTCAGAGTGACCCAAAAGGAAACGCTCCCATTACACATGACCTGTGCTGCATTTGTCAGACAACAGGGCTGCGCTCTCTGCTACCTTCCAGATAACAAAAGCAGGGACATGCAATCAAGAAAATTGAGAAGTGGAGATGAGGTTTATTTGTGGCAGGGTAATAAACATCCTTCTGCAGAGGACAGATGCAGGTAAAGGAAAGTGAAGGTCTGGGCAGGTGATAACGCCCAGGCCACCGCTATCCTGCAGCTCACAAGCGACGCTCACACCGTGGGGCTGAGCACACCGCGGAGGCTGGCATTACTGCCGCGCTCTCGGGCCCACGTTGTCCAACGCGGGAGAGACGGGAGCTGTTACCGCTCCCTCCCTGCGCCTCACGGCGTCAGGAGACGCCGATGCTCTGCGGGCAAGGGAAGGAAACTGGTGCTGGGCCTGGGCAAGGAGCTCAGTGAAGGCAACAGGAGGGGGAGCTTTGTAGTCCAAATAGCTTAAAGGGGGCAGCGGAGGAGTTTATTAATCAAATTACACAGTGCGACCACCTGACTTGGTGACCAGCAGCCACCAACAGCCCACGTCAGAAAAATTTAGTGGAGAATCAGGGTGGCAGACCGAGCAGTGGGGGAAACAAAACTTAAAAAAGGATGTTACGATCCTTGAATGCATCCCGAGGAGCGCAACAAAGCCGGTCACAGGGCTGAGGACTCTGGGTTTGTTTATCCGGGGGGAAAGGAGGCTGAGGGGGGACCTCATTGCTCTCTACAGCTTCCTGAGGAGGGGAAGTGGAGAGTGAGGAGCTGAGCTCTTCTCCCTGGGATCCAGGGACAGGACACGTGGGAATGGCTCAAAGCTGCACCAGGGGAGGTTCAGACTTGATACCCGGACAATTTCTTTACCGAGAGGCACGCCGATCGCACACTGGAACAGGCTTCCTAGAGAGGTGGTCGATGCCCCATCCCTGTCAGTGTTTCAGAGACACTTGGACAATGCCCTTAATAACACGCTTTAACTTTTGGTCAGCCCCGAAGTGGTCAGGCAGTTGGACCAGATGATTGTCATCGATCCCTTCCAACTGGAACTATTCTATTTTAACCCATCTCTGACAACAGAAGCAGGAAGTTTTACCATGTTCTCACAAACTAAAGGAAACTGATTCGACTTGCACTTTATTTTCAGAGACATCAGACACCCAGCACCACCCAGGACAAGACTACGGGAGTTGTTTACGCACACAGCAAGGCACGCACCCCCCAAACCCTACAGCCCACCCCCCGTACCCGCCAGACGCCGGCATACGTACACTTGTTGAAGTCAAACGCGAGCTGCAGGCTGACGCAGAGGAAGGCCTGGCAGCTGGAGCACTTCAGCATGTCGCACTCCACGTTGGTCCAGCCGTACTTGGCACAAACCAGGGGAGACAGCTCGTGGGGTTTGCCCGCCCACTTCAGCGGGTGCTCACGTTAAGGATAAAACCCAATAAATTACGGGTTAAACAGGCGAAGCTTTGGCCAAGGTTTATTGGGCCAAAGAAGAAGAAAAGCCTCTGAGAAGATGGAGCCTGTGGGGAAGCCATGGGGAAGGCGACAGCAAAATAGGGTGGGGGACGGCTGGAAGCTCAGCATCAGAAAGGATATGGTGAATGTTTCTACTCTGCTGAAATAGGCTTCCTTGCTGGCGGACTCCAAGGAGAGAGCATCCATTTGCAAAGATCCATTAGTTGATTCCGACCAGTCGGACGTGTCCTTCCTAAAAGGAACAGCAAGTCAGCAAGCAAAGCATCCGCGCTGTCCTGGAAAGGTTTCATTAATAAAAAAAAAAATGCACGGACCACTTTCCAACCTCTCATCCTTCAGGCTTACCCTTACAAGAACCCTTTCTCCAGAGCTCCTAAGCCCCGGCTTTTAATTATTTTACTAACAAATCAATTAAAATATAACGCAAAGGCGCGCATTAAACATTTCACGATGATGACAGCAGTGGCAGACGGGGATATGATGTGACAAATAGGAGATGGGAGCTCGTTTTCCAAGCGAGATCGACGATCGCAGCATGTCTCTGACATCGGGGACACGCCTGAGCTCCCGGCACCTGGAATGCCGGCTCCCAGCACCGGAACGCCAGCCCTGCCGCGAGTGCTGCCCTTCAGCCTCGCCCCAACGCCCCTCCGTGGGCCAAAATTCGGGGATGGTTGGGTCAAGGGCGTACTGTGCCTCCGAGGGCGACCACGGTTGCTTGGCTTTAGCTAGATACCCCCAAAGCTCAGCCACCCAGTGTCCCCAGTGCCTCCCAGTCTCCCCAACACCCACCAGTAGCTCCTGTGACTCTCAGTGCCCCCCGGGGTGTGACCCCACGCTTTTCAGGTCAGAGCCCCAGTACGCAGCCAGTTCAGCTCACTCAGGCTGCAGGGACACCAGAACTCTACAGGTCACGTACCTGCCCCTGCCCTCCCAGTGCACACCAGTACCTCCTACTGCCCGCTACTGCCTCCCAGTGTCCCAGTATCTCTCATTTTCCACTACTGCCTCCCAGTGCTTCTTAGTTCCTCCAGTACTCCTAGTGCCACCAGTACTGTATCCCAGTGCCCCTCAATGCCACCAGTACCACCTCCCAGTGCCCCTCAATGCCACCAGTACTGCCTCCTGGTGCCACATAGTCCCTCCAGACTTAGTCCCACCAGTACTTCCAGTGCCCCTTAGTCCCACTAGTACCGCCTCCCAGTGCCCCTTAGTGCCACCAGTACCACCTCCCAGTGCCCCTTAGTGCCACCAGTACCCCTTAGTGCCACCAGTCCTAGCCCCACCAGTATTCCCAGTGCCCCTCAGTCCCACCAGTACTGCCTCCCAGTGCTCCTTAGTGCCACCAATCCTAGTCCCACCAGTACTCCCAGTGCTCCTTAGTCCCACCAGTACTGCCTCCCAGCGCCCCCCTATGCTTCCCAGTCCCTCCCAGCACACCCCAGCGCCCTCTTTTCCCAGTACCCCTCCCTCCTAATAACTCCCAACACCTACCAGTGCTCTCCAGCACCCCCCAAACACCCCCTGTCGTCTCCCAGGACCCC